AGAGAGTTTAGTTTCTTAAGTTCCCTGTATATTCTGGTTATCAGTCCCTTGTCTGATATATAGCTGGTGAATATTTTCTCCCACTGTGTGGGTGGTCTCTTCAGTTTAGAGACCATTTCTTTTGTTGTACAGAAGCTTTTTAATTTTATGAAGTCTCATTTGTCCATCCTTCCTCTTAGTTGCTGGGCTGCTTGGGTTGTATTGAGGAAGTCCTTGCCTATACTGATTAGTTCCAGAGTGTGTCCTGCTCCTTCCTTTAGTAACTTCAGAGTTTCAGGTCTGATATTTAGGTCCTTGTTCCATTTTGAGTTAATACTAGTACAGGGTGATAAACATGGACCTAGTTTCAGTTACTTGCAGATGGATAACCACTTTTCCCAGCCACATTTGTTGAAGAAGCTGTCTTTTCTCAATAGTATGTTTTTGGCACCTTTGTCAAAAATGAGGTGGGTATAGTTGTGTAGGTTCATATCTGGGTCCTCTATTCTGTTCCACTGGTCTTCATGTCTGTTTTTGTGCCAGTACCATGCTGTTTTTATTGCTATTACTTTGTAATATAGTTTGAAGTCGAGTATTGTGATACCTCCAGCATTGCTTTTTTTGCTGAGTATTGCCTTGGCTATTCACAGTCTCTTGTGTTTCCAAATGAACTTTAGGGTAGATTTTTCAATCTCTGTGATGAAAGTCATTGGGATTTTGATGGGAATTGCATTAAACATGTAGATTGGTTTTGGTAGTATATTCATTTTTACTTTGTTGATTGTACTGAACCATGAGCACAGGAGACCTTTCCATCTTCTATAGTCTTCTTCAATCTCTTTCTTCAGGGGTTTGTAATTCTCCTTGTAGAGGTCATTCACATCTTTTGTTAAATTTACTCTGTGATATTTGATTTTTTTTGAGGCTATTGTGAATGGAATTGTTTCCATATATTCCTTCTCAGTTTGTTTGTTGTTGGTGTATAGAAAAGCTAATGATTTTTGTAGGTTGACTTTCTATCCTGTCACCTTATTGTAGCTGTTTATGGTTTCTAAGAGTTTTAGGGTAGAGTTTTTGGGTCTTTAAGGTATAGGATCATATCAGCTACAAATAAGAATATTTTGAGAGTTTCTTTACCTATTTGTATTCCTTTTATTTCTTCTTCTTGCTTAATTGCTCTGGCTAGAAATTCCAGTACTATGTTGAATAGGAGTGGGGATAGTAGGCATCCTTGTCTCGTTCCTGATTTTAGGGAAATGGTTTCAGTTTTTCACCATTAAGTATGATGTTGACTGTAGGTTTGTCATAAATAGCCTTTACAATGTTGAGGTACATTCCTTCTATTCTTAGGTTTCTTAGAGCTTTTATCATGAAGTGGTGTTGGATGTTGTCAAAAGCTTTTTCTGCATCTATTGAAATGATCAAGTGGTTTTTGTCTTTGCTTCTGTTAATGTGGAGTATTACATTTATAGATTTGCATATGTTGAACCACCCCTGCATCCCTGGGATGAGGCCAGCTTGGTCATGGTGGGTTACCTTTCTGATGTGTTCTTGAATTCAGTTTGCTGTTATTGTATTAAGGATTTTTGCATCAATATTCATTAAGGAAATTGGCCTATATTTCTCCTTTTTGGAGGTGTCTTTGTCTGGTTTGGGGATGAGGGCAATATTGACTTCTTAGAATGAGTTAGACAGTGTTCCTTCTATTTTGTGGAACAGTTTAAGGAGGGTTGGTATTAGTTCTTCTTTAAAGGTCTGATAGAATTCAGGAGAGAATCCATCAGGTCCTGGACTTTTCTTTTTTGGGAGACTCTTGATTGCTGCTTCAATTTCTTTTTGTGTTATAAATCTATTCAGGTGATTAATATCTTCTTTTGTTCAGTTTTGGTTTATTGTAAGTTTTTAGAAATCTGTCCATTTCTTCAAGATTTTCAAATTTGTTAGCGTATAGTCTCTCAAAGTAGTCTCTGATGATTCCCTGGATTTCCGTGGTGTTTGTTGTTATCTCCACTTTGGCATTTTTGATTTTACTGATTTGGATTTTTCTCTCTCTATTTTAGTCAGATTTGCTTTTTTATTTTTTCAAAGAACCAGCTTTTTGTTTCATTGATTCTTTGTATGGTTTTCTTTGTTGTTGTTTCTATTTCATTGATTTCATCCCTTATTTTAATTATTTCTTTCCTTCTGCTTATTTTGGGATTTGCTTGTTCTTGTTTTTCTAGGAGTTTGAGCTGTATTATTAGGTCATTGATTTGAGATCTTTCTGTCCTTTTAATATATGCAGTCGTGGCTACAAACTTTCCTCTTAGGACTGCCTTTGCTGCGTCCCATAGGTTCTGGTAGGTCTTGTTTTCATTTTCATTAACTTCCAGGAACCTTTTAATTTCCTCTTTTATTTCATCGATGACCCATTCATCATTGAGCAATGTGTTGTTCAGCTTCCATTTGTTTATATGTTTTTTACTACTGTTTTTGTTGTTGATTTCTAGTTTTAATGCATTGTGGCCACATAGAATGAATGGGATTATTTCTATTTTCTTACATTTGCTGAGGCTTGCTGAGTGCCCTAAGATATAATCAATTCTTGAGAAGGTTCCATGGACTGCTAAGAAGAATGTATATTGTGCAGAAGTTAGATGAAATATTCTGTAGACATCAGCCTGGTTTATTTGATCTATGGTGCACTATCACTGTGTTGGAATTTATATATGTTTTTAGGTCCTTTAGAGTATGTTTGATGAAATTGGGTGTATTTGACATTGGGTGTATTTGGGTTGATAATTGTAATTTCCTTTTGGTGTATTTCCCCTTTTATTAGTATGGAATGTCCTTCTTTATCTCATTTGATCAATGTAGGTTTGAAGTCTACTTTGTCTGAGATAAGCATTGCTATTCCTGCCTGTTTTCAGGGGCCATTGGCTTGGTAAATCTTCTTCCAGCCTTTCACTTTCAGACAGTGCTTATTTCTGTCAATGAGGTGGGTCTCCTGTTGGCAGCAGAATGTTGGATCTGCCTTTTTAATCTACTTTGCCAGTCACTGTCTTTTGATGGGGGAATTTAGTCCATTAACATTCAGTGTTAGCATTGATAAGTACGTGGTGATCCCTGTCATATAGTTGTCTTTGTTGATTAAGAGTTTGATTATGTGTAGCTGAGTCAATGTTACTCTTTACTTTCTTGCCTTTTCTTCTCCTAAGCTTTGGCATTGCCTGCCCTTTTATGGTTTTGTTTGCTTTCATTATCTGTGTGCAGAATTCCTTGGAGAATCTTTTGTAGTGGTGGCTTGGTGATCATATATTGTTTTAATTTCTAATTATCATGGAAGCCTTTTATTGTTCCACTTATTTTGAATGATAGTTTTGCTGGGTAAAGTATCCTACAATTGAAGTTATTTTCATTCAGTGTTTGGAAGATCTCACCCTATGCTCTTCTTGATATTAATGTTTCTGTTGAGAAGTCTGCTGTGATTTTGATGGGTTTACCCTTTTATGTTATTTGTGTTTTCTCTGTTACAGCCTTCAATATTCTTTCTCCAGTCTCTATTCTTGTTGTTTTAATGATAATATGTTGTGGGGTAGTTCTATTTTGGTCAGGTCTGTTTGGTGTTCTGGCAGCTTCCTGTGCCTGAATGGGCATAGTTTTCTCCAGATTTGGGAAATTTTCTGTTGTTATTTTGTTGAATATATATTATGCATTCCTTTTGCTTGCACTTCTTCTCCTTCTTCAATGTCCATGATTCTCAGGTTTAGTCTTTTGATGGAGTCAGTGAGTTCTTGCATTTTATTTTCACAGGTCCTGAGTTGTTCAACTAATAGTTCTTCAATTTTTCCCTTAATTGCCATTTCATCTTCTGAGAATTCTGTTCTCCTCTTGTTCTATTCTGCTGGAATGGCCTTCCATTTTGTTCTGTATTTTTGCTTCATTCTTTTTTCTGAGGTTTTCCATATCATGGGTTACTTCTTCTTTAATAATGTCCATTTTTGCCCTTAATTCATTTATCTCTATGCTTATTTTGATCTTTGTTTCAGTTTGTTGTTTGTTTAAGGCTCCTATGATTTCATTTATTTGTTTCCGTGTTTTCTCATATTCTTCAATTTTGTTGTTTTGGAATTTCTTGAGTGCCTCCAGTATGTTTTGATTGACCATGTCTAGTAGCATCTCTGTGAAATTCTCATTAATTACTTGTAGAATTTCTTCTTTCAGGTTGCTCTTGTGGTCTTAATTGGGTTCCTTAGTGTACTTTATCTTTGTTTTATCAGAGTCTGGATCTGGGCATCCGTATTCTTCATTTCACTCTAAATCCTGTACTATTTTATTTTTTGGGGGGAGAATGGTTTCCATCCCTTTTTCTTCTTCCCATATTTCCACTAGGTACCTTTTCTGTCCCTGGACTATATGTAATTTGGTATTAGTTCGGTTATAATATTATTGCTAACAAAATTGTGAGAGAAGGATAAAAAAGAGAAAGAAAAGGAAAGATAAAAGGAAGAGAGAAGAGAGGAAAAAAAAAGAAAGAGAAAAAAAAAGGGAGAGACAGTGGGTGATCAAACAGAAAACCAGGCTGCTAAACCCTTGAAGAAGGGAGAAAAAAATCACCAGTTCTGGAACAGTAGGATTGCAGGCTTAGTTGTTTTTACTTCTTTAGTGTCCAGTCCAGTCTCTGTGTGTTTCTTAGGCACACTTGGGGCCCTCTAGTGGTGGCCCAAGCAAGAGCCTGGTGGAGCGGTTATCTGGGAAGCCTGTAGAGCTGGGGCCTACTTCCCCCAAGGGGTGGGGTTCCTGGTGGGCTGGTGGATGTGGCTGTCTCATGCCAGTCTGTTGCTTGTCCCAGCAGGGCGGGGCTCCAGTCGTCCCACACAGAGCTAGAGCCCTGCAGGGCCTGATGGATGGGAGTCTGGGGGGTGCGGGTCCAGTTGTTCCATGTGTAGCTGGGGCTCAGCAGGGCCTGAAGGGCAGTGGGCTCTGGGTGGTGGGAATTCCAGTGAGCTGTGGGATGGGCACCAGGCTGGGATCCAGCATGGATGGGTGGCAGGAATCCCGGTGGTCATGGTGGCGTGGCTGAAAGGCAGGTATCCCAATGTGGTGTGGGTCCATTGGCTGGAGGCCAGCGTGGCTGCGGGGTGGGTATCCTGGTGGTGCATGGATCCAGCATGGCCCAGGATTTGGGGATCCCACTGTGCATGGGTCTGGTGCAAAGCTGTGGCTTGGTGCAGCCCAAGGGGCAGAGAGCCCAGCAGAATGGAGCAGCAGCTCTGCAGACCTATAGGGCGGGGATTTGGCAGGCAGGCTATTCTTTATTAGATCGTGGCATGGAGAAGCCTTCTACAATCTAAGTGTTTAGAGTGCCATGATTTTGGCTCTCCTTGGTGCTTTACCTCAGCCAGGTGTGTCTCCAGCTTCTTGGCAAGGTCTCTGGGTCAGGAGCTCACAAGGTCTGCAGCTTTGTCTCCATCACCATCTTGGATCTCTTGGTATATACCACTAGAGAGAAGATATACCTGGTTTTACTTCCCTTCAGCACTAAAGTCTGTGATTTTGAGCAGAAAAATTCTCTTTCTAATCCATTAATGGCAAAGGCTGATTTAGAAACTCTTTTAAGTTTCTTTCTGACTTTAGAAAATTGAGATTACCACTGTTCCAGTGAGAATGAGTAGAAGAAAGAATTTGACTGTCACAGGGGACCTTTTCTGGGCTAAATAAGTCCAGAAAACTGATTTTGAAAATATGTTGACACATAGGGTATTATCATAATCCTGAGAGGATTTCCATTTACTTAGAAGTTATGAAAACTATGACCTAGGATCATTTTAAACTACTTCAAGACTGGCATTTCAGTTGTTTACTGTGACTCATGCCTATAACCTTATCTACTTGAGAGGCTGAGATTGGAAGGATCACAGTTCAAAATCAGCCCAGGCAAATAGTTCACAAGAACCCATCTCCAAAATAACAAGAGCAAAATGGACTGAAGGTGTGGTTCAAGCAATATAAACCCTGCTTTGTGAGCAGGAAGCACTGAGTTCAAACCCCGGTCCCACTAAAAAGAAGAGAAAAGAGATTGGCATTATCAGGGTTATACTAGTAGCTTAAGCCTGATCCCTAGCTTTGCAAGGGCTTGATGTTGATCCTAAAACTAATGCTAGTTTTTGCAATGTTAAATTAAAGTAGGTCATCTTTACTGATGCCTCTACATTGTAGGGTCCTATACTTTACTATTTTGCCCTCAACTTTCAGGCTCTGTCATTCACATGACATTTCTGCATAGAATGTGCTTCTATGTCAAACTTGATTCCACAGTTAGATTCAGGAGTAGACTTTATCAATTTCCATGTAATATGGATGGTCCTGGTTGTTCTTTAATATTTTGTAAAATATCTAATTCTTCAAGCACACTATTTTTTTCCAGTTTTCCAAGGCAACTTTAGTTGGTGGATTGTCTGAATTGCTTAATACACAACTATTGGCAGAAGAAATTAATCATATCTCCCTCATTATGACTCACTTTATTATTCTGACATCATACACATATGAACCCATGCATAATTACAAATTGAAGTCATTTTGTTTCTTTATGGAATGGTCAACTCATAAATTTATTTTTTAAAAGTATAATATTACCTAATTAATTATTCCTGGCCATATAAGTAAGCAATAACAAGTAATTATTGCAACTGGTTTTATGATATTATTATTTGACACAAAAGACTCCATGAAGAGTTCCACATTTTGGATATAAATTCCAAAACATACATTAGTGATCTAAGATATTAGAGAATATATATTATAATTTAAAAAGCAAAAGACTTTGGTTCAAATTTCAATTCTAACTTACACCAACTTTTATTTATTTGTTAAGATAATTTGTTCAAATTGCAGCTTTTAATTTGTTTAATCATGGGCATTCTATTTGAGAATCTTATTATAATATAAACTGAAATAAGATGATGACCAATCTAATTATTGTTGAGCATATATATAGTGGACAATGGAATCTATGAATAAACAAAAATCTCATTGCAAATTCTTGTATTGCTATCAGTCAACTATCACTAAGTAATATTGTATAATGAGTCACATTAACAGGAGGTGGAATGTAAGAATTAGCATTTCTCTCTACGAGTGAGTTAGTATCTGGCATTAGCCACAAAGAACGTGGATTCAGGATGTAGGTTATACTCTGCTGGTGCACATTATTGCACTTTGGGTAAGCATTTTTTCATGGGACTGGCAACAGCACAAGACACTAAGCCCAGTTATGCTTGTGTTATGTGCATTGGGCATAGCAGGCATAAGAACTCTGCCAACCATAAAATAAAAAATAAATTATATAAGATGAAAGTCATATCTTCCCACATGGGGTTGTGGTGAGAGTGTAATGAAATGTAATGTGAATACATTGTCAAGAATGTAGTATCCATTTAATTAATGTTTATTCCTATGTTTGACCCTCACAACACTTAAATAATGGAAATATAAGAATAGCTCATGTCACATGTCTTTCTCTTAGAAATTGATCCACTTATGCTTCAGAGTCAGAGGTAGAGAGTTGCTGACATTGCCGTTTGATATTTGAAAATTGATAGTATATTCTATACTTGAATAAGATCAGTGATTAGAATGAAGGAATGTATCATCCTACCCTGTAGGCCTAGGGGAGATGGAGTGTCATTTTCAAGGTTACACTAGCAAGGTATAACTTTTTCACTAGCCTCTTTTGTTCACTTAAATATTTTGTATTGGGAGCACATTTGTATAATAAAATGACAATACTTGGAAACTAATGAGTCAATAAATTCTTATGTAAATAAATTTTTTTATAGTTGGAACTAGGAGGAAATTAGATGTAACATGCTATGTTGGCTTATATAAACTTGATAAATGCTGAGGGGAACATAAACTCTTGTAAGAACTTCACATGCAGTTAGTAAAAGTGAGTCTGATTCAGTGTAATTTTGTCATACATAATTTGATAATTTTATGAGATTATAACACAAGACATACAAAATATAATAAGATTTCAAAATAGGGCTTTTTGACAGTTAATTACATTCAATTTGTTTGCAGATAGTCTACATGGGCTGGTGTGAAGTGCGGGAGCAGGACCCCCTCCAAGACCGAGTGTACTCTCCAACATTTCTTGCCTTAAGGGGCTCATGTCTTTACAAGTTTCCAGCACCTCCAGTAAGTGTTTTTATATAAATGTATGGGTTTTCCAAATCTTTTCACGACAGATTCACATCAACTGAATAATATCAAATAGCACATTATTAATGTATAACATAGAAAAAAATAGGAGAGAGTTCATATGTTTCTGAAATTTTTGTCAATGACATATATCTTTACATTAAATATTTGTTTTATAATCCTTGAAATTTTGAAGGCATTTCTGAGAGTGAGCCTAAAAAAAAATGCTTCATATCATGATACATTTAATCCTTACATAGGAAAGGATTTTAAGAAACAGTTCAGAGTGCATCTCAGTATATTTTTGTTAATCAAAAAAATTAAAAGCATGAACATATTAAGAATTAAATACAGATAGAGTGAAGAATTTTAAAGATTCATTACACATTAACTCACATGCCTATTAATCTTATGTTTTCAAGGAAACTTTTAAAGGACATTTTAATGTGTTTGGAACTTTTAATTACTGATAGTAAGTTTTCAACTTATATTTAAATTGTCATTAACAAATAATAAAATGTAACCTCAAAATAATCACATTTGTCCAATTAATATTAAGTCTACCTAAATCTAGTAAAGCTTTGGTGATGTTAATAGTTTAAATGAGAAGGTCTTACCCATGGCAAAAATCAGAAATACATTCTGGAGAAAATTTTAGTCAGTTTTGCCTTACTGTAAAAAAATGCTGAGATAAAACAACTAATAAAGAGGAAGAGTTTATTTCAGCTCACAGATTAATGGGGTTAAGTCCACGGTCTTTTGACCCTTCTGCATTAGGCCTGTGGTAGTATAGTTTATCATTAGTGGGAGCACATGGAGGAGCAAGGTGCTCATCTCATGCCAGACAGAAAGCTGAGAGGAAGGAAAGGGCCAGGGTCTCCATGTCCCCTTCAAGAACACAACCCTAGTGGCCTAACATCCTTCCCACTTAGGCCCTGATTCCTAAATGTCCCACTACATCTCAAATGTCCCACATGTTGGGAACAATCCTTCAATACATAGGCATTTGGGGGATACTCAAGAATTAGATTACAGCAGTGAACTACCACAGATAACTGTCAAAATGTTTATCTATGTTATACAATCTCCCTAAATCAAAGCAGTGGTATTTTTCTTCATCTATTATGCTCTGAATTCTAATCACTAGGATTTATAGTAAATGTATGCATATGTATTTGCACTGAATGTCTTGCTTTTTGAAGCATGTAGGTTACAGAACAATAAACATTCAATAAATACATATTGAATAAAATATTAAATGCCAGAGCATTCACTGACAGCTCTGATAATATAAAGGACCTGGAAATTTTCAAGACTGACTTGCTGCTATTTTTAGTGTCAGTATCTATACAAAATTCAAGGCACCAGAAAGACAAGAAAAAAAAAGTTTATATATTTAAAGATATTCCAGTTTTGAATAATTTCTTATGATTGAGCAGACATAATATTTCAAAATAATAAGAGAATTAACTTTTTTTGTGGTGTTGAGGAATTCACAATGTCATAACTCATTGTAGAATGATTTATTATAAATTATATCTTTTTAAAAATTGAAGCTAGTGTTGCTATTGCATAGCCTTCTCTGTGTTTAACTAGGGGAAAACCAAGAAAAAATTATACATGTGGAACAAAATGTTTACTTTTTATTTGTACAGAACACACACATCCTTTAAAACACATAAAATTTTTGGCCAAGCAAAATTGTTAAATATGACATAAAATGTTTGTTGAAAAAGGTAAAGAAATTGAGATAAATATTAGAATAGACTTTCAGCATAAGATGGCAGAGTAGATAGACTCTTCTTCATGTGATGCTGTGAATTCAAGTCTGGTCAACAAAAAAGAGATTATATTCTGAAGAAAGAGAAGAAGAGCATCAGGAATCTTAAAAGGGGTGACAGGATAGCTGGAAAGCACAGGGAAACAGAGATGATACACTGAGAAAATTAAGAAACAGTTGGAAGTTCCAACCCAGCTATCCGATTGAAAGGGAAGCTGAAACCATAACCACAAGACATGCCAAGTAGCCCTAGTGAAAACGGACTGGCAAGGTAAGTCTACAGTCCTTCAAGGCTTAAATCCACTGTGGTAATTTTGTGTGATAGTGACTTCCCCTGTGTATCAGACCAACACTGAAGAAGAAATTAATTTTGTTTCTCTACATATATTGGAGAGATAGATGCCATATTGGAGGGTACCTGTTTCAGGTGGGGTTATTTGGGGACTTGAAAATAAGGAACAATTACACGTCAGGTAGCCAGGGGACAGCCTCCCACAGTGCTTCAGTAGGACATAATTATGAGGAACAATCATGGAATGCAGGAGTGTCAGACATGGATGACTGAGAAGTTTGGGCAGTGGGGAGTTCTTACTGTTAAAGGGAAGGTGGTCAGTTATTCCATCCTGGTTGGCAAAGACTGTGCCCATTGTCAGTAGATTCCCACAAAAACTAGGGTCTCTGAAACTGAGCCTATGGCCAGCAAATTGTGCAGCCTCTGAAGATGCATCCCTGCCCTGCTCTGTGACTCTGCCCTTCAGAGTGCGGTTTACTGCTGGATGGGACTGAGAACTCTGAGCCCAGGTCTAACAAATCACTCTATTTTTCCTAGACTCCTCCCTTCTACAGGGTGATTTACTACAGGTAGGATTGGAAAGCTCTGAGCTTCAGTTCTCCCACTCTAGTGTATATCTCAGCGCTCTGTTTGCTATTCCCCATGGACTTGGGAGACACCACTCAGCTTGGACATTTGCCACCACCAAGGTGCACAAACTGGGAGTTCTGGAACAAAAGAGAAGTTATGTAGCCCACAGGCTGAAAAGCACATTAGCACCAGCATTGACTCTGGGTACGCAAAGAAGGGAAGCATGTAAAGAAAATGCAATCCTGAAGCTAAAAACTGATATTTGACCAGCCCAGCCTAGCCCTTAGCCCACATAGAGCACCAACCTGAACAGTATTGTTGGTCTTACCAAAGTTTGTTTTCTCCTCTCTGAGTGATTGGAGATTGAGTCCTCAAGATAAGTCCCCAAATAAAACTCTTGAAGATATATTCTTCCTAACATATGAGCAAATTGTAACATATAGACACAAGATATTGAAAAAGCAAGGCAATATAATTCCTCCAAATGCTCATAACGTCTCAATAACCAGATCCAGTGATCCTGAAAGTGTTGAAAAGCTAGACAAATAATTTAAAAACATAGTTTAAAAAAGAAAGTCAACTCAAGACCTGAGAACAGTGGACAGGATGAAATTCAAGTATGATATGTTTGATACATTGTAAGAACTTTTGCAAATGCCACAATGTATCCCCACCAGGCACAACAATAAAAAAAATTATAGCTATAGCTAATAAATCAGAAATTGAAATAAAAAAATAAATAAGACCTGAATGAAGAAAATCAGCAGCTTGGATGAAAAATTCAGCAAAGAAATTGGGATTCTGAAAAAGGCAGAAATTTTAGAATTGAAAAACTCAATATGTCAAATAAGACAGAAAGCCTTATCAACATACTAGAAAAAAGAGTATCAGGAATTGCAAAGTCAAAAATTGAGACCATATTATATTTAGACAGCAGTTAAAAATAAGTATAATCACAACTTTCAAAGATTCTGAGAAATGATTAGGATACCAAATCTAAGAATCCTCAAGGTAGAAGAAGGAGTTGAGATACAACTAAAGACATAGAAAAACTATTCAATAAAATTATCATAGAAAAATTTGCAAATCTAGGGAAATATGTGTATCTCCAAGGAGAGAAGGCATTTACAACCCAAATAGAAATGACCAGAAAAAAAGTCTCTATGCTACATTATAGTCAAAATGATAAGCTACAGAATAAAGAATACCAGAAGTGGAATGAGAAAAATGCCAACTTACTTACAAAGACAAACCTGTGAGAATTACATCAGACCTCTCACCAGTAGCACTAAGAGCCAGGAAAGTGTAGCATGATATATTTGAAGCTCTGAAAGTAAACAACTGCCAAACAAGATTACTATATCCAACAAAGTTATCCTTTAACATACATGGAGAAATAAGAAAATTCTAAGGTAAGCACAAACTAAAGATATTCATGACCATAAACCAGCACTTCAGAACATACTTAAAGGAATACTACATGAGATGAAGAAGAATGACAGTCACAAACATGAGAGCTTAGAAAATAATTAATTTCAAGAGAGGAACTGAAAGCAAACGGAAAGATAAGCGTAAAATATATACAACTTAGTAATCAAGCAATCTTTTAATATGAACAAGGGAAAAAGAAAAGAACAAACAGTACTTGAATCAACCACAAAAAAAATACAACAAAATTATAGGCATCTACAAATACCTCTCAATAATAAACTTAAATGTAAATGATCTTAACTCTCCAATAAAAGATGTAGATTGGCTGATGGTGTTAAAAACAAAGTCTGCTTCTTCATTGTCTCTAGGAAACATACAACACTGGCAAAGACATGCATAGACTGAAAGTGAAAGAATGGCTAATGATAAACCAAGCAAGTGGGAACAAAGCAAGCAGAAATAGTTATAGAAAATAAATTTTAAGGAAAAATTAGTCAGAAGAAGTAAAGAATGTCACTATATATTAATAAAAGGAACAATTCATCAAGAAGATGTAGTATTTATGAATTTATATAAACCAAAGTTTGATGAAAGAAATACTACCTGATATAAAGGTATAGACTGGCCAGCTCCATAATAATCAGTGGCCTCAACACTCAACTCCCATTAATAGATACATCATCCAGACAAAAATAAATTAGCAAAGAAACTTCAGACTTAAACTGCATGATAAATCAAGTAGACTTAGCAAATATCTTTTAGAATATTCCATCCAATAGCTCTGAAATATACACTCTTCTCAGTACCCATGGAACATTCTCCAAACTATATCACATTTTAGACCATACAGCAAGTCTCAGCAAATACAAGCAAACTGAAATAATGTGTTGTTTCTTATCCTATCATAATGGTAAATAAGTAACACATCAATAGTAAGATAAACTACAGAAAGTATACAAACATATGAAGATAAACAGTACACTTTTTAATGATCATTGAAGAAATCAGGGAGGAAATCAACAATTCCTAGAATCAAAGGAGATGAAAATATAATTCAGAACCTATGAGATTCAGTGAAGGCAGTTCTAAGACAGAAGTTTATGGCTATAAGTACCTATTAAGGAATCAGGAAGTTCTCAGATAAACAATCTAATGATATACCTCAAGGCCTTAGATAAGCAGAAAGAAATTAACTGCAAATGAGCAGATGGGAAGAAACAATAAAACAGGGTGGAAATGAAGTAGAGACTAAAAAACAATACCAAAATATTAATGAAGCAAATAGTTGGTTCTTTGAAAAGACAGATATATATATATATAAGACTGACAAGTTTTCAACCAAACTAACTGAAAGAGAGAGAAGACCCAAGTAAATAAAATTAGAGATCAAAGAGTGGAGATTGCAACAGATACCAATGAATTTATTATTGCAAATATGTTTGAAATTCATTATATTCCAATAAATTACAAAATCTACAAAAAAATACATAAATGTTCAAAAATGTGATCTAGCAAATTGAACCAAGGGTATATAAACAACTTTAATGGATTTATAACAAGCAATGAGAATGCATAGTCTTAAAGAGTCTTCCAACAAAGAAATTCCCAGAAGTGGAAAGAATTATAGTTGAATACTGCTAGACATTTAAAGAATTAAAATCCATGTTCCTGAAATTAGTGCTTGAGATAGAAAATGAAAGAATGCTACTAAACTCATTCTATGAATCCAATATTACACTGATATGAAACCAGATCAGTATAAAACAAAAAAAGAAAATTATAGACTAATTTACTTGATGAACATAGATCCAAATACTTAAAGAAATATTTTTAAATCTAGTTTAACAACACATTAAAAAGATCATACACCATGATAAAGTTGGTTTCATTCCATGGATGCAAGAATGGGTCAGCATACACAAATCAAATGTAAACATAATACAGTTCATAAACAGAATTGAGGACAGAAAACAGGCACTCATCTTAATAAATTCAGAAACAATCTTTGATGGAGTTCAACATTCTGTTAAAATAAAAGTCCTGAGCAAACTAGGAGCAGAAGTGACATTCCTCAACATAGTAGAGGCTATATATGACAAACCTTTAGCCAACAATGTACTAAATGCAGAAAATCAAAGAACATTTCCACAGAAATGGGGAACAAGAGTAAGGTGTCTACTCTTATTTAATATAATGCTTAAATTCTTAGCCAGTGCAATAAGGCAAGAGAAAGAAATAAAATACATACAAATGGGAAAGAAAAAAGTCAAATTATCATCTGCAAATAGGGATACTTCAAAGACCTTAAATACTATGCCAGAAAACTCTTAGATATGATGAACACTTCCAGCAAAGTAGGAGGATAGAAAATCAAAATCTAGAATCTGTAGCTTTTCTAGATATGAATAACAAACATACTGGGAAAGAAATCATTAAAACAATCCCAGCCTCAAAAAATACTTAGGAAAAAATTTAACTGAAGAGGTAAAATACCTCCACAATGAAAATTAAATTATAAATCACTAAAAAATGATATTGAAGAGATTACTAGAAGAAGAATGATCTCTCATTTTCACAGATTGGCAGAATTAATACTGCAAAAATAGCTTTACTACCAAAAGTAAGCTACATATTCAATGAAATCCTTACCAAAATCCCAATGACATTCTTCACAGACACAGGAAAATCAATTCAAAATTTATATGGGAGCACAAAAGTCCACAAATTACCAAATCAGTAGTGAGTATAAACAAAGCAATTCTGGAGATATCACTGTAATAGAATAGAGAATCCAGAAATAAATCCAAGCACATACAACCATCTGATTCCCTTTTTTCTCTTACAAAATAAACTTTATTCCTTAGGGTAGTTTTAGGTTCAGAATAGCATTCAGAAGCATACAGAGTTACCATATATCCCCTTTCCCCATGCGTGGCAAATCATACACATGCAACCTCCCTTAATAGCAACACCCTTCACCAGAGTGATTTATTTGCTGCAATTGATAGCGTCTACTTTGACACATTATTATCACCCAAACTCCATACCTCCTATCAGAGCTCATTCTTGATGTTGTTAGCCATCTGATTCTTGACAAAGATGCCAAAAATTTACACTGGAAAAAACCCCAACATCTTTAACATGTGGTGTAAGAAAAGTAGATATCCATGTGTACAAGACTGAAACTAGATTCCTATTTCTCAAAAATCAATACAAAATGGGTCAGAGACTTTAGCATAAGACTAGAAACTCTGAAACTTCTAGAAGATATCTTAGGGGAACACTTGAAAATAAAGGTATAAGCAATGACTTTCTGAATAGGACTCCAATAGTTCTGGAAATAAGGGCTAGAACTGACAAATGGGATAGCAACAAATTAAAAAACTTTTGCACTAAAAGGAAAGAATTACCAGAGTGACGAAACAGCCTATGGAATGGAAGAATATCTTTGCCAGGTATTCATCGGGAAGATTAATATCCAGAATATATAAAGAGCTCAAAAATTAAACACCAAAAGAATTAATAATCTAATTAATAGATGAGCAAATGAACTGAATAGACAGTGATCAAAAGAAGATGTACAAATGGCTGCTAAATTTATTTTAAGATGTTCAACATCCTTAGTCATAAAGAAAATGAAAATCAAAACTACTTTTTGATTCTATCTCACCTAGTCAAAATGATTTTCATAGATACAAATGCCATAGAGGATACAGGGGGAACAATGAGCCCTTATACACAATTGGTGGGAAGGTAAATTAGTATGATCACTACAGAAATCAGTATGAAGACTTCTCAAAAATGTAAAGAGAGAAAACTACCACTCCTAAGCATACACCTAAAGAAATACATATCAGCATATAGTTAAGATATCTACACACCTATGTATTTGTGTATTGAAGCACTGTTCACAAAAGTGAAGTTATGGAATCAACCTAGATATCTATGAACAAATGAACAGATAAAGAAAATGTGGTAAGTATGTACAGTGGAGTATTATTCAGTATGAAGTTATGTGATTTGCTGAAAGTGGATGGAATTAGAGATCATTATGTTAACTGAGATAAGCCAGACATCAAATACAAAATACGTGTTTTCTCTTAGAATCTAGATGTAAAACACACACATAAAAAGTACACAAATATAAAAGGGGAACTTTTTGGAAGAGAAACAAGAGGAGGCAGGAGGTGGAATAGAGAGGATGATGAGGGGTGAATATGACCCAAGTACATTGTATGAATTTACAGAAATGTAACAGTGAAACCCTTTTCTAAAGTGTTCTTAAATGGAGGGAGAGGAGTGATGGAAGGGATGAATGTGATCAAAGTACATTATGTGCATGTATGAAAATACCAAAATGAAGCTCTCTTTTCACATTGTACACTGGGAAAAATATATCAAAGGTGTAGCTATCTTTTCCCAAAATGATTAGAATAGAGGAAACGAAAGTTATACAGGGAACTGTATAAGAAGACTTCATGAACTTGGAGAATAAATAGATATATCTGTGAAAGTTTTATTTATGAACCATATTATAGAAATGAAATAAAGAGGGAAATAGGAGCTGTTTTTCTAAAACAAATGACATATTGTTTTCTCATCTTTTAAAGGTGACTACCTGGGACTGGACCCGAGCGGAGAAAACATTCTCGGTTTATGAGATTATGTGCAAGATTCTCAAGGTATGATCAATGGTAGCAGATATTCTAATTGTGCTATCTAGGAAAACAGTGGTTCTGATCCAATAATTAGCCAGTGAAAGCAAGTAACCCAAGAAGCAGAAAATGTACAGACATTCAGTTAGAGTGGAAATCACTCACAAGCCTGTGCTCTGCTTCCTCAGTCAAAGGACTGGGGGGACCTTTGAAGCTTGGCAGGGGAGCCTCAAGGAGGAAAGGGAAAGTTCAATGATAGTTGGAATTTAAACCTCAATTCTTATCAATTCTTTTTCTCTCAAGAGAAATTTAGACGGGAAAACTTGAGTAAGACTTGAAATCATAAATTTAGAAAATATAGGAAAAGGTTTGTTTGTGTATATCTTGGGGACTAACCATCTCATTGGGTATGTAAAAGAATATATAAGAATCTTAGATGAATTAAATTCCTTTGTGACACAGAATTGATAATGAGTCATTAAGAATTCTGTAAAATTACAGACGATTAATATAGCCTTTTAAAAAGCTAAAATAGTAATAATCAAAAGAAACATCTATGTCCAATTTATTGGTTTTCAAAATAAATCTTCTTGTATATATTTAAGATATATAACATTTTATGGGATACATACAGGTACTAAAAGGATACTAAAGTGGAGCAAATTTACACAGCCATTGTTTCATAAAATTACCAAAATATTTTTGGTTTTCTGGAAGATGAAGTAAAATAACACAGACATAATGCAAGGGATGTTTCTATTATCTGTATTCCTCATGTTGTACATGAGATCTCCAGACTTGTTTGTTGTATATATCTTGTACTTTGTATCCTTGGACCAACTTTCTTCCCTTCCTACACATAGTAATCACTGTTGATTCTCTAACTTTGTATATTTGAATTGTGTGATTTTGTTCAGATTCCACATATAAATGAGGGCATGCAATTACTTTTATCTTTACATTTGGCTGATTTCACTGAGCACAATGTTCTGTAGACTCATCATGGAGTGCCAAATGGCAGAATCACAACCATCTTTAGGACTCAGTGTATTCCACAGATTCAGTGTTCATTTGTCCACCGATGGACACTTAGGCTGCTTCCCTACCTTGGTGATTGTGAATAATGCTGCAGAGAGCATGGGAGCACAGCTACCTACCAGGTAGCAATTAGATTTCTTTTGTTATATGCCCAGAAAAGGATTGCTGGGTAATATGGTGATCTTATGTATATGTATATAAATACAATGTATACAATATGCATACTATTTTACATAATGGCTATGCCAATTAAATCCTCACCAACTGTGTACAAAAGTCCCTCAATAACATTTGCTGTTTTTTAATTTTTGATAATAGCAGTACTATTATATATGAGATGGAATCTCATAGTAGTCTTGGTTTGAATTTTCCTAATAATTAATGATATCAAGTATAATTTATTTAGTGTACCTGTTGGCTATTTTTATGTTCCTTAGAGAAATTTCTATTCAGGGCTTTTGCTCATTTTTTAAATTGAGACATAACATTTGTCATCTTTATGGGGCATATTATGGTAATTCAATACATGTATACAATGTATAATAATTGAATCAGGGTAATGAGCATCTCCATCTCTTAAAAATTAATCATTTTTAAGAGTTGGGAATTTTGTACTCCTGTGTTCATTTTGAAATCTATCACAGATTGTTTTAACCTATCTTTACCCTACTATGTTATAGAAAACCCAGAACTAATTCCTGGCTCCTGGTGCCTTGGTGGCCGTTATTCAGTGCCCTTTCCCTTCCCAGGCTCTAGTGCACGCTCTTCCATTCCATTCTCCTATGAGGTTAACGTTTTAGTGCCCACACATGAGTGAGAACGTGGTACCTGTCCTTGTGCTCCTAGTTCATTTCACTGCTTATGATTAATCCAGCTCTACTCATGTTGCTTCCTTTGCCCATTTTCATTTTCCTTTGCTTTTTGTTTGTATGAATTGATTATGCTTTTCATAGTAGCCCCTTATCACATATGTGCTATGTAAGTATTTATTCTCAACCCATAGGCTTCTATTTTAATTTGGTTGTTTCCTTTGCTGTGCAGAAGCTTTTTAGTTTGATGTGGTCCCAATCTATTTATTTTTACTTTTGTGACCTGAGCTTTTAGTATGATATCCAAAAAAAGCATCAAGGACAATGTACAGAGGTTTTTCCCTATGTTGTCTTTTTTTTTTAATACATTCTTGTCTTCTCTTTAGATCTTATTCATTTTGTGTTAATTTTTATTGATAGTGCAACTAAGCATCTGATTCCATTTATCTCTGTTCATTTGCATAGAACCATTCATTTCACTAAGAGATCGTCCTTTAACATTGTCTTTCCTTTGAGTCCTTGTTGAAAATTAGTTGTCCAGATAGGTTTAGATTTATTTCTGGGCTTTGTCTTCTGTTCCGCTGGTGTACATTTCTGTTTTTATATCAGTACCCTACTGTTTTGATTACTATAGCTCTATAGTTTAATTTTAAATCAGGAAGTGTGATGCCTCTTTGTTTTCCTTTCTCAGAATTATTTTGGCTATGTGAGTAAGGTCTTTTGGCTTCCATATTAATTTTTTGATTCTATTTCCTATTTCCTTGAAGAATGGCACTGGAATGTGATAGGGATTGCAGAGATCGGGAGGATAGTAGCTTGAGGCCAGGAAGGGCAAAAATTTAGTGAGACCCATCTCAACAAACAAGCTGGAAGTGGTAGCTCACACCTGTGACTCAGATATGCAGAAGGCAAAAGTAGGAGGACTGTGGTCCATGGTTGTTCTGTACAAAAAATGTGAGACCTTGCCTGCAAAATAACTAAAGCAAAAAAGGCTAGGCGTGTGGCTGGAGCAATAGAGCACCTGCCCAGCAAGTACAAGGCCCTAAGTTTACTTCCTAGCACTCCCCTCCACCCCAAATCCTCAAGAAAATATTAACAAATTAAATCTAACAATACACCAAAAAGTTTATACATCATGATGTGGGATTCTTCCCTGGCATGCAAGCTGGTTTAATATACACAAAGCAACCAAAGTGACACATCACAGTAACAGATTGAAAGATTAAAAATACATTTCCATCCCAAGCAATTCACAGAAAAGAATTTGACAAAGTTCAACATCCTTTCTTGCTAAAAACTCTTACCATTTTTACAAAAGTAAACTCTTCAACGTCATAAAAGCTATGTATAAAACACCCACTGCAGACATTAGAATCAGTGAGGAAAACCAAAATCTTTTCATCCGCGGTTATCTAGAAGGCAAGGATGCCCACTCTTGAAACTTCTACTCAGTGTGGAACTGTAATTAGTAGCAAGAAAAGATATCTAAATCAGAAAGGATAAAGCAAAAATCTCTATTGATAGATGACATGATCCTATATATTTTAAAATTCCCAAAGATTCCACAAAAACTTATCAGAATTAATAAATTAATTCACTCAAGTTGCAAAATACAAAAAATATAAAAATCAATAGTACTTTTATATACAAATGATGAATGACCTACATAAAAAATAAATCAAGAAGACAATTCCATTTATGATAGTATCAAAAAGTTAAAATACTTAGAAATTATTTTAACAAAGGAAGTGAGAGATCTGCACACTGAAAACTATAAAATATTGTTGAAAGAAATTGAAGAAGACAGAAATAAATGCTACACTTGTGCATCAGAATTAATATAGTAAAATGGATCATACTACCCAGATTTTCTGGAGGATTTTTGAATCAATGTTCATCAGATATATATTGCACTGTAGTTTTCTTTCCTCGTGATGGCTTTAGCTTAGTTTCAGGTGACACTGGTCAAAAAGTTTGTAGATAACCCCTTCAGGTCTGTGGTTTAAGATAATTTAAAATACATTCATATTAATTCATCTTTGAATTTGTGGTGAAATTTATCCACAAAGTCATCTGGTCCTGGCTATTTTTTCTTTTGGGTGGGGGGAGGGTGATGGTTTCTTCAATCTTTGTTATTAGTCTGATTAGGCTTTCTAATTTTTCTCAATCTTATTATTTCTTAAGATATTTTTAAGAAAATTTAAGCAATTTATTTCTGGTAGGGTATCCAAATTTTTGGTATGCATTTGTTCCTAATAATTCCTTATGGTCCTTTTTATTTCTGAGGAGTCTGTTATATTTCTGTCACTTTCAGTTTTTATTTTGCTTATTTTCACCTTCTTTTTTCATAATTAGACTATGTAAGGGATTTTCAACTTTATTTTCTAAAGGAACCAAATCTTAGTTTTATTTATTCTTTTTCTTTTTTTGTCCTAAATTTGATTAATTGCTGTTCAAACTTGTATTATTGCCTTTCTTCTGTAAATTTTGGACTTATATTGGTTCTTACTTTTCTAGTTCCTCAAAGCATAATGTTAGATTATTTATTTGAGATCTTTCTTCTTTCTTAACATAGGTGTTTATTCCCAGAAACTTCCCTCTTATAATTGCTTCGGCTGCATCTCATGGGATTTGAAGTGTTATGTTGCCTTTGTCACTGTCTCAAGATATTTTACAATTTTTTTTATTTCTTGTTTGGCCCATTGTCTATGAGGATGTAAGCTGCTTAATTTCTAAATAATGATGAATTTTCAAGATTTCTCTTATTATTGATATCTAATTTTATATGTGATGTTCTGAAATGATGCTACTTATAACAATCTTCTTAAATTTTTTAAGACTTATTTTGAGCCCTAACATGGTTTATCCTGAGAAATGTTCCATTTGTACCAGAGAAAAAAGTGTATTGTATTGTTATTGAGTGGAAAGTTTTGTATATGGCTGGTAAGTCCATTTGGTCAAAAGTACAATTCTAGTGTATCTTTACTAATTTTCTGTCTAGTTTATCTATCCTTGTTGAAGTATTGGAGATTTCTATCATTATTGTGTTACTTTGTCTCCCTTCATATCCACTTGTATTTATTTTATTTATTTAAATGCTCCAGGATTGCATGCACATGTTTATAATCATTATGCCTTTTAATTAATTGATCTCTTAATTTAATGTATCATTAAAGATGT